AGGCCTAGCATTCCAGGGTCTAACTTACTGCTTTGCAAAGGGCATTCAATAGTCAATTCTATAAATAAAATATATTAAATACCCAACTTCTATTTCATGCTATAATTCATTACATTACTGGAATGGAACGCTGTATTTCTTTCTTCAGAGGAAAAACATACCCATTTATTTTGAAGGGAAGCATAGACTGACAAGTGTATTTATTTCTTAACTAGAGTCAGAGTAGTAACTCGCTTTCCTTAAATTCACTCCCTTTCAAGGGGGGAGGAAGGGACGGGGGAAGAGACCCAACAATTAAAGGATAATAAAAGATCTTACTGTTTGCCTAGAGTTCTTAGCAGAATCCAGTAAAAAAAAATGTATATATATATTTAGAAACGAAAATGATTGTTGAGCTTAAGATGTTTTATTCATCTGTCCTTCTCCAGCCCGTAGCCCAGAGTCTAGGACATAATATACTTAACATTGTTTGAATGAATAAATTTTATATAAACTAAAACAATAAAAGAGAGCAAGTAGATACTTGAAGGGGAAAGTGAAGTAAACAAAAATACTGCATAAATATGGTGATACCAATGGGAAGACAGCCTCCTCAACATCTTCAAAATAGACTCGGTAACACTGTCACCCAAAGGCATGATGTAAAAACTCCCATGGAGACACCTAAGTGCAGCATCAGCGAGCAATGGAGAGCAGGTAGCGTGGTTTTATTCTATGAGTTTCCATCGGCCTCCATGCCTGCCTCTGAGTTGTTTCTGTAAAGCCTCCAGCTGTTTCACAGGTTCCACAGTGGCCATAAATATAGCTGATGATTGTCTGGGTGTCTAGGATACTGCTTTGTGACCCGAGGGAAACAAAAACAGTCAAAGCACCACGCCAGAGGAAACTTACCTGGAGCCTGCAGGCATCCCCAAAGTCACCTAAACAAAGCCCCGCTGGCCGGAGAAAGCCTATGATGCAGAGAAAAAGCAACGTGGAAAATTGTCCAACGGGGAAGAGGGCAGGCCTGGAGGGCTGTTATTGTTGATCCTGTTTGGAGGTTACATGTAAAATATCAGGCTTAGAAGGAACTTTATAAAGGCTGACTTGCTGGATGCCCTGCCATTCTCCTGCAGTTAGAACCCACAGCTCATGCAGACATTTCTATTTTAAAAGACTTTCAACGTTGATGACTCTGTGATCTCGCTTGGTGACTCCCCCTGCAATGTGACCACGGCCAACTCCAAGTCCCGGGCTTCCCAGGTGTTTTCTCCAATAAATCAAATGAGTATGTTTCACCTCTTTTCAGTAACTCACAACAGGGAGCTTGATTGCTATGGTACATGAGCAGACTAACTGGATAACTGTATACTGATAAGCATTGTTTTTATTGTGAATAAGTGCTTAAAAGTATAGTCATAGCCCTCCAAAAAGATTTTAAGTTCTATGCCATCCCAAAGAGCATGGTGCTTGACACACTGTAAACCAATGCAAGACCCCCTTCATATCTAAGTTAAACTCTCTTGACTTGATTTAGGTGGAAGCTCTGACTCTGCCAACATAGTCAAGAAGAAAGGGAGTTAGTCATCCTCTTGGTAAGAGCTCTTTATGTTCTGGATAACTGTTTCTAGAAATCACTCCTCAGCCTTCTCCACACCCACTCAACCCCTTTAACTTCCCTATATGCTGAGTTATTCCCAGCCGAAACCCCTAAGCTAAGTGATTCTTCTCCAGCTTCATGTTGCTCCTGAACTGAGCATCCTAGAACTTGAGTCAGCACTTTGGCAATTTGGCAACGTCGGGAACGCGACCTCACACTTCCCCATCCCAGAACCTCCCTCAGTTTAAAACCAGAAGTAACGCATGACTGGTTCATGGCACCTGGCTCCCCACCACGCGAGGAGGACTGCTGCTGACCACTTTCTCAGATCAGATGTCCACAAAGGCTATTCTCAGTTCTCAGGAAACTCTCCTCTTAAGGTTTGAACACTGGAGGACAACTGAATACATTTTCTCTTACATCAAGTCACTCTCAAAGCCATTTTAAAAAGGAGTTAGTATCAACCCTGATAGAATTCCTTTCATTATGACCTCTGAAAGGAAACAGTAATAAATAATTGGCCCTAAATATTACCTCTTAGTTGAACAGTTAGGTAAGTTTTGATAACTGACTAGATCATTTAAAAATTTTTACCTCTAAGGATATAAAATGAATATATAAGCCAAAAAAAAAAGGATGCTGTCCATGAACCAAGATGGATAAAAGACAAGATTTGGTTATTATACCTTATTGGGAATTTATCAAGACTCCATTTCCTCCACATACCAGGCTTATCTCGATTTAGGTTGCCCCAAATTCAGACTAGCTTCATATGCTCAGTCTTATTAAAATATCTGAAAACTGTTCTTACTTTTTCTCTAGTATTACTTTTATTTTCACTAGAAAGAAAAACAAATCTAAATGCATTTTTCTTTTTTAATTGTGAGGAGAGAATATTGAATGGTTACTATATGCCAATCTCTACGCTTTTATTTCATTAAAAAAAAAACCTGTTGGGGTAGGTATTATTCCCATTTTCCAACTGAATAAACAGGGGCACAGTCTGGTTAAGTGACTCTCATAAGGCCACACACTAGGCAGAGCAGCATCCAAATCCAGGCTGAGACTAGAGCCTGTGCCAACTTCTCTGAGTTGTGTTAGATCAATTTCATTTCCCCAGCTGTAAATATTTTCCAAAATTCCACAAGTTGTGAAAAATGATGGCTAATTAATCTCAAATGGTTTAATGGGTAATCTCTTTTGGTTTATACGTGTTCACTTTTCTTGCATATATGCAGTAGATGTTTGAAGTTATCGAGCATATTTCTTTATTCTTTAATTCTTCCACACCCATGCTATATACTTTGTTCTATAGTTTTGCTTTGCTTTTTCCTTTGGAACATATGATTTTTAATATAGTAAAAAACACTTTTGCCATTTCAAGATTATCTATCATTTGCTTGTACTGTGGATCAAGCAGAATGGACTGTTCTTTAGCCACAGCTTCCTCAAGTGTAAAAGGAGATAGCTCTTAGTCCTGTTTCTTTATCATTAAAGGCCATGCCCACCATTGGTTTTACGTCATCTACAAATAATCCTTTCCTACTCTCTTTCCTGATTTCCATGTACTAAGCCCTCTGCTGCAAAAGGATAGGCAGGCTTTTGAGAAATCTCCAGTTCCATGGTCCACAGGGGACTATCAATTTAATCAAGTCAGTGGCTTATCAGGGAAGCATTTTCACTTAACCAGATGGGAGTTTCAACTTAAATAATGCATTACATGAAAAGAAAAGAGTTCGGGTTGTCAGAGAAGACAGTACAGCCAGGATGTAAAACACAGTGACTGACCAAGAGGTATTAACAATTTGTAAAATTCTGTGAGCGTTACATGTTGCAAAGGCAGAGGCTGGGTTTCAGGCTCACTGGAGCCACCACGCATCCTGGAGAGTGTCAACATTTGATGTCACTCAGTTACTGGCACTGAAGGAGATGTGAGTGAACAGTGCCTAAAGTGAGTAACAATATAGTACCATGCCTTCTTTTTCCCTTGCCATCGTGGCTAGGATTCTTTCTCAAACTTCGTACAGGTGGAATGCCAAGTCTAGTACATCCCAAAGCATTACAGGCTCCTTTTCTGTTAAGAGAGGCAAGACCTCCCCACCGCCACAGTTATGCAATGTCAGCAAAAAGAGGGCCCAGAACAACTGGGCATCACACTGGGAGCCAGTGAAGGAGAGAAGTGAGAGCAGGTGTTCGGCTGCCTGGTGAATGGCCCATTTAAAAATTCAACAATGGTCAAAGGGGCACAGGGAACACCAGAGCCACCACTGTGATTGGTCAGACAAGCACTTCTCCATTCAGGGTAAATTCATACCCTGAAAGAAAGCACGTTATAAACCAGATTTTCACAAACCCAGTGCATCCTGTACCCTCCACAATATTATTTTAAAAGCATTCTCTTCAGGAAAAATCATGGAAAGAACTACTCAAATACCAGAGCTTCTTCAATTTCGTATGTCCCTCTGAGATATTAACTAGACAAAATAGGCAAAAGCAGCTTATTTTTTGCTGCAGAACCAACTAATTATCTTTCATAACTCTTTTGAAAAGCAAATGTAGATGTAAAAGCTTGAGTGAAAAACATGTTAAATATATTGCATCTAGACTTTGCCAAGAAAATAAGGAAATTTAAGTGCACAAAATGGAAAGATTTTACTGAACCAGAATTTCAAATCAATGTAAAAAAAAATCCAGCCTCATATTTTCACGTATCTTGTCATTAGCATTTTACATTTATACGATCAGCTGAAGGGTGAATGTTGCTGCATATTCAAGATGTACATGCATCCTACATGGTGAGGAGCACCAACAGAGGAAAATTATACAAACGAAAAGTGCTTTTCAGGCATCCCTTCCCTTAAAGTTTCTGTAAACTGTATCATAAGTGACTATTAGAAAGCAGATCAAACACACAAGGATCTCTTCACCCCACCAGTAGAAAACCTTAAAAATGGTGGGTACAAGGCAGCAGAAATGAAGTATAGGTGATTATTAAGTACCAAGAGACAAGGGATGCAGCAAAACAGAGCAGGAAGATAGGAGGAGGAAAAACCCAGGCCTGTCTGTACAATATATGCAGATTTTTTTCAAATGTAAATTTTAAAGTGAATGTTGCTTTTATGTTCCTGCAGAAAGGAACGCGTCACAAGGCTGCTCTACTTCCCTTTAAGCCCAAGCGCATAAAGAGAGTAAGGGATGTGAAAAGCCAATTCTTTGTGCTGCTACTTAATCAATTGCACTCAGTTCTACCCGATGACACAGCCACACTGAAAGACCACTCAGCAGTTAATGGATATCATGTTGGAAAAGCACTTTGAGGTCTTGCAAATAAAGGGAGGGTGACAAAGGAGCATGGTTTTATTACTGACTCCTAAGACCTGAGCCGCACGATATATGAAACTCCCAGGAGCTGAAAAAGAAATGAAGATATTCATTTATTTTTCTCATTCTGATTCTTCCATATGAAATCACTTCTTTCAAAAGCATGAAAGTTATCCTGTGTCCTCATCTGGGCTTGTCAGAAGAACCATCACACATTGTAAGGAATAAATATGTGCTTCAAGTGTTACTGCCTACGTTTACAATCTGTCAAAATGTAGCGCTGAGGAGGAGTTATGTGTTTTTAACTGTATACATCCATCACTAGCTATCACTCTTCCCACAGACAGGAGAAAGTCAACAATGAAACATAAAAGCTAAAAATAAGTGACTGAGCAATTGCTCAGAAGAGCTGCACACTGGGCTCGGTGTTCCATGTACACACAATCCTTCCCTTTTTGGTTTTTTTTCTTTTTTTACTCCAGCCAACCTAAAGTAACTGAGATTAAGGGCTCAGATCTCAAAAAAAATAAACAGGCAGTGCAAAAACATATAAAAGTCAGAAGGAACATTTCATGCTCATAACCATACATGATCAGTCTTTGGAATGGCATGTGTCCAGAATCCAAGTGGTGAGTAACATATGTTGCTGCAAATACCATGAAAAATGACAATTACAGGCACTGCAAATGCTCTAAGAAGAATTAGTGGCATTCCTAACAAGCCGAAAGTATTCTTTACTCACAGGTATATAATATGCTGATTTCTAAGAGTCAATCAAATCAACATTTATTAAAGACCCACTCAGTACAATTTACTATGCTCTGATGATGAAATATATTGCATAAAAAGCCATGGGATACATGCTGATGCACAATTAAAATATATGCATGACTATGTATTATTGAATATAGAAAATGTATAATCTCAAAGGAGAACACTAGATTCAGAAAAATTAATAGATCCATGACTGAAAACAGGTTTTTTTTTCTCACTCTGTAAGAATTTATTAGGTGAGAAAAACAGCATTAAAAACCTTGAAAGTTTTCAGTTTGAAATCTGACATATTCAAAAGGAGACACGTTGTCTTTAATTTAACAGTGGTTTTTGAATTCTCTTTTAGTTTCAAAAGGGTTCACCTAACCAAATCTCATAGGAAACCATAGAATATAAGTGAGATAAAAAAAGGTATTTAATTCATACAAATTTGCTTTATAAGTGCAAGTTTATAACATTTGTTTGTTAGGCAAATAAATGAAAGGGTTTGTTTTTTATAAAGAGAAAAATGTGAAAAATTATGGATGACAGTTACTTTTTTTATGAGACTTGGCATCAGATTCATTTCTGTATTTTGGAGTGTTTTGCACCATAATAAGAAAATTCTGATTCCTACACACAAATGGTTTCAAACAGTGAGATTTAACAGCTTCCTTGCAATCTCAGGTTACTCTTTCAGCAGAGATGGCCAGGGAAGCATCATCCCATAACCTGAAACAGAACTCAATAACCTATTAACACAAATTAACTCATCTTCATTCATCTCAACCACAGGAACAACTCCCATAAAGTGTACTCAATGGTGTACAAGGGTTTTTTAAAAATTAAATCCAAATCAAATCTTTGAGAAACCCAGAAGTGCCCGCCATCCCCAGAATGTCCCAGGGTTTAGTAGAATCCAATCCCTATTTAAAGCCTGTCTCTAAAAAGCCTGCCAGCACCCACTGAGTTGGTATCAGGAATCAAAACACACATCACCAGGGTGGGCATGGCCCACCAACACCTGTTGGCAAACCTAGGATTCAAGCAAGGCGTGCCACCTGCAGACCTGCTGCCCTTTGGTCTCCTTCATTTCCTCCCAATGGTCTTGTTCCTCTTCTCCACTACTGTTTTGGCCCAGAGCAATCCAGCCAATCATCTCCTTACGCTTCATGGCACGCCTGTTATACACAGAAATCATCAATGTGACATCAGAGAGCTGAAAGAGGGCCACCTGGAAAACAAAGGTCTCCTTATAGACAGGATTGGGCTGACTGCGCCGGATGGATGTCTTGCAGCGGGACATCTCTTGACCCACAGAATTGAGGAGAAAGAGCTTTCCATACGTATCTAAGGAAGAGACAATGGAAACGAGAACACATCAGTGTCTTCTGCTTTGCTAGTTTAATTGTAATATCTACGTGGGCTGTAATTTTTCCCTTTTTAACACACTGAATGGAACAGCATCTTTAGGCTTGGTACTTGCTGGAGGAGTAATGCATCTTACATGAACTCTTCAGGAAAGAGATTGTTACCTTCTATGCTCACTGGTTCGTGCAGCCCACTCTGGAGTACCTCACTTGATTAGAAGCTCTACATGTGCAGGGGTGTAGACACGCATGGGCGTGTGTGCAAGGGTGTCTGTGGAGACACACAGTTCTTCATCCACCTGCTATTTATGTAACAAGATAAAGATACCCATCGTGTTCTACGTGTTTTTCTTTTCATAATCAGAATACTGTTTATGCCTAGATTGAATAGTCTCTCTTCTTCTCACTCTCTACATATTGCTTGGACCCTCTCATCCACTTAGTGACAACTACCCAATCTGTATCTCTGGCCTTAACTTCTCTCTCAAGCTCAAGAACCACGTGAATACCACATTTCTTCCTATGGAATCCCACACACATCTCACATTCATCATGTCTCCAACGCTTAAAAACTCGCTGCTTCAATCGTCCCCAACTCTCTGTCCTCCACTCAAGTATCCAAATCAGAACTCAGGACTACATTTTTGACAGGACTGGCTTCCTTGCCCCTAGTCCAGCCAATCAGTCACCAAGTTCTGTGGATTCTACCTCCTTAATAGCTTCCAAATCCACCCACTTCTTTCCATCCCCAAAGCCACTGAACCCTCAGCGTACACCATCAGCTCAGGTCACCAGCATCTCTCACTTGCATCATTGCTTGTATCCTCACTGATCTCCAGTCGCTGGACTGCCCAATCCCAGAGTCAGAGGGATCTTTGTAAAATGCAGATCTGGTTGTGTCACTCTCAGTAACAAAGAAAGACTAAATCTTCAATACATCCCACTAGTCTCAGGATAAAAACTAAATTTCTTGGTACAGACTGCATACCCTGACTCTTTTATCTTCCAGTTTCATTGTGCACCACCGTTGTGCTTATACACTTCAGTCCCACTACCCTGAACTACCTTCATCCCTCCAACCCACCCTGCCCTCTTTCCCTCGCACTTCCTCACAAATTATACGTGCCCTGAGGTCCCCAATGATATCCACCTCCACGTGGTTATTCATTCTGTTTATTTGTTCGGTTTGGATGTCACTCCATCCAGGAATCTTTGCTGACTGCTTTCCCCCACCCTGACCGTCTATAGGCTCCATCAAAATGTAGTTTTAGCCTCTCTCAGCACTTACTACCCAGTATTACTATTGCATATTTACTTTTCTGCAAGACTGTCAGTTTCCCGATGGTAGAAAGAGGGATTGCCGTGTTTACCACTGTACCCCCATGCCTGGTGTAGCATCTAACATGTGAAAGACACTTACTAAATATTAAATATTTTGTAATGAATGCTTGTGACTATCCAGGAGGCTCACTCTTCTTTTTCTTTGGGTCTCGAGTTCTCAGACTTTCAAAATGCAGCTAACCCCTCATTTTATAACCCCTGCAACAGGATGCTATGAGATGCTGACTAGCATCACATGTTAAGTCATTTATAGAAAGGAAGTATTAACATAGTCTATTTTGCTAAGATTGCTGAATGGATAATTACAAATAAAATTATCTCCTACAATAAATTAAATGATTTTAATAAAAATATAATAAAAAATAAAAAATAATTATCAATTTCTTGACCCTCTCTAAACTACAATCTTTTACCACTAATTTGTGTGTGTCCTATCCTAAAAAAAAATCTAAATGTTCCAGTATTTCCTGAATTTTATCATCCTGTACATTCTGTTCAACACAGGCTAAAAGCTGATTAGTGTTGACTGCTCACTTTCCCACCTAACAACCAGTCAAACTTTTTAAAGTGTAAACCCAGATCTCTGTAATTTGCCGTTCTCTACAAGCGCATTGTAAGATAGCAAACAAATTACAACCTGCAGTTTCCTTTCTATGTTGATCTTTTTCTATTCCGGTTTGATGTGTTATTTTATGCACTTATCTGCTGAGAAACACAAGGTGTGAAATTACACTTCAGGTGTGAAAACACTTCTCTCTCTCAGAAACAGGGCTCTCCGCTCTTCCAACTGCTCTGCGGAAAAAGCTGTCAGAAAACCGACGATGGGGGAGTAAAAGTGTGTTTCTGCAGCTGTACAGCTACATGGTTCCTCAAGGAAAAGCTCAATCCAGTCACCAAACTGCCCTGGCGATTCTGCCACCAGTTATGGCAGTGGGAGTGGAAATTCATCTTGCAAAGACCGGCTCATTTCAGAACGAGAGCAATTTCAAGTTTCATCTTGTCAGGGGATCATTTTCTAATCACAAGAAAGGCTATTTACTACCAGACCACCGTCAGTGAAGCTGAATTGTATGAGTGTGACAAAAAGGGAAAATAATAATTTTATAAACAATCCAGTCTGAGGACACCTGACCAGAAGAAGAGAACTGCTGTTGATTGTTCCAGCTCTAAAGGGAATCTTTTTATCAGCGGTAATCATGTGCCGGAGCAAAGGCTGTGCCCAGAAAATTCTACTTGTGAGAAACTGTGGGGAGCAAGGCTGGGGTCTTTGGGGCTCAATGATTTATTCTGATGAGCACAAATCAGAATGGAAGAGAAAGGGTCAAGGAAATATACAACTTAACTGAGCTCTGTTTTAATTCTTTGGAATTGATAATACTTGCTGTGGAACAACACTGAGCAATATTTTATTTTCTGGTGATGAGTCAGATGCCTCTCAGTGTCTCTAGCAACTCAAAACCAGCATTAAAAGACTGAATGGGAAGTTGTGGTATATTTATACAATGGAATACTACTCAGCCATAAAAAATGATAAAACAATGCCATTTGCAGCAACATGGATAGCCCTGGAGAATGTCATTCTAAGTAAAGTAAGCCTGAAAGAGAAAGAAAAATACCATATGATATCACTCATATGTAGAATCTAAAAAAGAAAAAGGCAAATTAACTTATATATAAAACAGAAACAGACTTACAGACATAGTATACAGGCTTGTGGTTGCCAGGGGGAGGTGGGTGGGAAGGGATAAACTGGGAGTTCAATATTTGCAGATACTGACTGGTACATATAAAATAGATAAACAAGTTTATGCTGTATAGAACAGGGAAATATATTCAATATCTTATAGTAGCTTACAGTGAAAAATAGTATGAAAATGAATATATGTATATTCATGTATGACTGAAGAATTGTGTTGTACACAAGAAATTGACAAAACATTGTAAACTGACTATACCTCCATAAAAAATTAAAAAAGAAAGAATGAGCAAGTGAAAGAGAGAACATTAAGAAATAGCAAAAAGAAGGAAAGAAGGAAAGAAGGGAAGGAAAGGAAGAAAGGAAGAAAGGAAGAAAGAAAGACGAATAGGTCATAATCCCTTGATAGTCCTGGGTACTGCTCTTCTGACCCAGCCCTGTCAACTGCTCTACAGGTCCCCTGTCTCTTTCTGCATAAAGGAAGATACCTCGTGCACCAGAAAAACTGTAACACTACAATATTACCAATCTATCATGGCACCAAAGTATGCCATTTGGAACTCAGAAGTCATTTTTCCAAACAAAAAACATAATACCAAGATGGTTAATCACAGAGCTCATACAAAACACCTGCCCGAGTGCTGCATAATGTTCTACCTAACATACTTAAGACTCAGCCTCAGGGTAGGGGTCGGGGTGGGGCACCACGATTCTCTGGGCAATGATAAGGCATCCGGTCATTTAACCTCCATCTCTTAATTTATTAACAATGATAAAACATTTTCAACATACATAAAAGAGAATAATATTACACGTACCCAAATGCCCACCATGTAGACTTGGGATATTTATTTTAGCACTTGTCGTATCTACTATAGAGCTTTTTGCTTTTGTTTGATTCTTAGGAAATAAAATATTGTAATGGAAGATCCCTGAGTATTCCTTCTTGATCCTGTTTGGTTTCCTCTCACTAAAGGTAATTCCCATCCTGGATTTGGAGTTTATCATCTTCATGTATGTTTTTAGCCTTTCACTATATAAGTAGCTGTAAATAAAGATATCCAAAATATACTTAACAGTATTCTGCACGTTAAAAAAGCTATTTAATATTTTACTGTATGTCTTCCCAAAACTTGCCTTTTTTTCATACAGTATTACATTTTTTATATTACCTATACTGATATATACACCTGTGATTCATTTAAGTGTTGTATAGTGTTCCAGTGAATTCATAAGCCACAATTCATTTATCCATTATCCTAATTAATGAACATTTAATGGTTTATAATAACCAAGAATTGAAGAGATATTGATGAACATTTTTCTATATTTTACATTGTAGCAATATTTGAAAATTTCTCTAATACATACCTAGGACTGGTTTGCTGGCTCTTTATAAATTCTAGATACAAAATCTTATTTTGATTGCTAATATCTTCTTGCCTGTGGCTTATCCTTTTGCTTTGTTTATAGTGACTTTTATAGTATAAATACTTTAAATTTGTGTAGTCAGATTTATCAATGTTTTCCTTTTCACTTGGTGCATTAAAAAAATTGTTTAGGAAATCCTACCGGAACTCAATGGTCTCCCACATTTTCTTCTGTGAGTCTTAAGAATTTGTTTTTCACATCTGATCTTTAATCCACCTGAAATTGATCTTTCTGTGTGGTGTGAGGTAGGGATCTAATTATTTTTTCCATGTGGAAAGCATTTTTCATTAAATACTTCATTATCTTCCAACTGATTTGTAATACAATGTTGGTCAGATATCAAGTGCCCAGCTTTAGCACCTTCCCCTAACTTGATAAGATTAATTATCATCATTTTATAATATGTCTTGATATTTGCTAGGGAGAATCCTTCTATCATCTCTTAAAAAACTATTTTAAAAGTTCTTGCTTAGTTTAACTGGCTCTTGTATATGAATTTGAGAATCAGTTTG